TGTCTGCAGACCGTCCAGACTCGAATCCGCCGAGCCAAGGCCAGGTGGCGATGTGGGTTTAAGGCCTCACAAGGGCTGCTCTACCTCAGAGGTACTCGGGTTGCAGTTTGATGTGGCGATATACATCTGAGTAACTCAACAGCGCGCTGATGATGCCATGTGGGAGCCAAAATACTCAACTGCCCAGTCCACGCCAGCCCAATCACATGTTTGTGAGGCTTCTGCCATTCTACCGGTCCGAAGCTTTTGTGAAAGACCGAGCAGACAAAAGGGATTTCCGTTAGTTACACATTCCTGCAGGCATATATCATGGGCCGGGCGTTGCCAAAGAGCCCGATAGTACGGTGACTTCTGTGCCCTGAGAGGCTTCTCAGTGGAGCCCCGGGCCCGGGGGGCCAGTGCTCCCCGCCGTCCGAAGGCTGTGATCTCAGAACCTCACATCTTCAGTCGTTCCCTCGTTTCCTGGTTGCAGATGTCGAGGCTGAGGCAGTGCAACGCGAGGCATGGAGAGTGTGGTGGCCAGGCCAAGCCGGCTCCAGAGCCGCGGCCTCCGTCGACGAACTCCAGGCCCTTGGATGCCTTGGGTTGTTCAGCAAACCAGGTCACGAGGCCTGAAGTACTTGCATGCCGCGACGTGTGTGAGCCAACATGAAAGCTGTTGCCAGTCACTTCTGCTAGAATGTCCGCATCGAACAAACTGATGTTTCTCCAGAGGGTAATCAGGGTTCGCTTGTTTTGCGACAGCTTTCATGATTGAGCTATGCCCCTGCCGCTATGCCGAAGGCCGCCTTCCGGAGCCTGAGACTGAGTGGAAATGGCCAAGAGAAGGAGAGACGAAGCCGAGTACTTGAGAACCTTTTTTGAGCTGATGCGTGGGTGGACTAGTTTAAGCTGCTGTCGGCATCTAGCAAGTAGGAGCATGTGCAGAGACAACCTTGATGCGCTGGTATCGAGTCGAATACTGCTTCTGGTGTCTGGTGTCCGTACGACTGCCCTCTTCGGCCATCGCTACTAGTTCGAAGACTCGGCTAATACTGGCAGCCCAAGAAGTGGCAGTAGTAAGTCGACGTCGTCGTCCTCCCTCCTGGTCGTCGCTGTCGCCCTTGCATAGTGAAGACCGGTTTATGTTTTGTTGATGACTGAGTGGAAATCGGAGCCTAAATCTCTATGAACGAGATAAGCAGCCGGGTCGGATTTCCTTTTGGATTCCGGAATCTGGGCCGAGGCTTCGGAAGGCTCTGGCTGTCCGCGCTGCGGAAGGGCGCTGCAGGGTCGTGCACTGGCTGCTCGGCGGCGAGTTTGGGGATGTTCGAGTGTCGGATTCAGAAAGAGAGAGGGTTGGAAACTGGAGATTTGCGTAGTCACACCTCCACCTCCCACAAGAGCCATCATGGGTGGGCCATCGGCCCAGGGTGCTTGAGACGTCCCCCACGCCAAGGAGCGGGAGAGAGAGGGTTTGAGTTTTAAAAAGGTGTGGTTTGGGCATGCTTTGGCCCATTTCGATGCCGGGCTTGGAGTTGGAGTTAGCTGACCTAGAGCTATCGGAGTTTGGGCTTGTTGTCCAAGGCCTGGGTCGGTGTCTTTTCGCATGCCGTCATGCTTTGTGCCGCCGTGGTGAGTTCCGTCGCCAACCGAACCGGTGCTCAACGGCATTTCTGAACGTGCCGGTCTTGATGGATTAATCCGCGATCAGCGCGGTGTGTAGGACTGTGCGAAGTATCTATAGCACCTCAGATATATATATATATATATAGAGACCGGGGAGATCTGGGGAGCCACGTCGGCACACCTGCAATTATGTGTCGTAAGGCCGCAAATGCAAGTCTCTGGTTCTGCTTTGGTCCAAAGCCATGTAGACTCTGGCTTCGTGTGCGCTGTGTCGTTGTATTGGTGAACCTTGAGCGAGGGTTGTGTTTTCTTTATATGCCATACTACCATGCTGTCGTCTGCTCGGCGCGAAGAAGAGGTGATGCACTTGAAGACCTGCGGCGTTCCAAGTCGTTCCAGAGGAGATCCCTTTGCCAAGCACGGGCCTTGGAGCTTTTCTGCTACGAAATCTCTAAGACGAGCCCAGAGAATTTTGCTGGATCCGAAGCTGTGCTCCAGCCAGGCCCGACCCTGCTCAGTCGTCGCAGTCGACTCCTACCCGAGGGTATAGAGCGACAGGCGCCCTTGAGCCCTTGAAGCGGGGTGTGAGGCTTTTCGGCCGGGGTTCAAGCATGGCGCAGTCAGTATCGTTGAGATTTGGGGATGATGTTAGTGGGTCGCACCGTGCTGCATCGTCAATGTCCCAGTTTTGCATTTTCGGCGGACTTGTTCAGGGCCACGCGTGCGAGCAGGTCCGCTGAAGTCCATGACTGTTCAATTTGTTTTACTGCTCCAGGCATAAGAACATATAAGAACGTAGTTTTCAATCGTCCGCATGATCATGATCTCAGGTGCAGAAAACGGCGGCTTTACGGGCAAGGCACAGCCTGGTTATGGGATGTTTTTCAGGTTGGGGCATGTTCCCGGGCTTTGGAAAAGTCTTGCTTGCATGTTCAGTTTACTTGGATCCGACAGCCCAGCCGAATACCTGTAAAGCTGCTGACTCAGGGGACGCTCTGCCAAGACCCTGCACAACGAAGTGCCACATCAAGCAGCATCGTTTTCAAGCGAAACGAAGACACAGACGCAACATATTGAATGTTGCATCGACGCAGGCTCAACAGCCGCCTCCCTCACCGCCAATACCAACTGCAAACCGACGGAATGTGCCAGCCGCCTGCTCAGATCCCGGTCGCAGACATTCTGCAACAGGATCTTCTCTGAAGTCGTGTGGGGTCCAGGCTCCCTGTGGATTGTGGGGCAAATGCAGAAGAGGAAGACACATTGCTGGTATGTTGTCGCTTGCTTGTTCAGCTGACTTGGGGACAATCCCGTTCGTCGGTTCGTTGCAGCTGTGCTCGGCCATCTTTTTGTGAGAGGTAGTTTGTGGGAGCTGCCGCACACACCGTTTTCACACGCTGATGGCCAGTCGTGTCATTACATGTTTGCTTCTCCCGCAGCTTGTTAGTATCATCACAGCTGTTCTTCTTCGTGCTGATTGTGTTTTTTCGTTGCTTCTGGTGGAACTTGTGCTTGTTGCCTTGCTGCTGCCTGGCTGCTGCTGCTGCTGCTGCTGCCGTTGTTGCGGTTGCATTGCAATCAGTTGCCAGACAGTGGATGTTGTCACGTCGCACCTCGCACTGATGCAGTACTGCTAGGAGTACTGTCAGGACTTTAGCAAGGTAGTTCGTGTTGTGGTTGGACAGGCAACAGATTACCATCACCACTGTGGCAGCTGGATGTGCCAATGTAGTTTCGCCCGCTCAGCCTCACACCTAAATTTTCGGATGTAGACAGTGCCTGTACCTCTTCGTAGGCACAGACATCTCTTGTCTCATCAGTGTGGCTGCGCATTTAATACTCTTACCGGGTCACATCTGCAAGAAAGGCCAGGTATGAAAGCCTTTATCCCGAATCCCTTCCAGATGTTGGCTGTCCTCGTTTACAGCCCCGGCGGTGCGATAGCTAGGCCCAAGAGCGGCCTCCGTCACCACCAATACCAACTCACAGCCGACGGACTGGACCGGTCAACCTGCTCAGATGGGCTCCAAGGGAAGTTGGGCTTGAGGAATGCCACTTAGTAAAACTGACACAGACAGCTTCACGAGCTTTCGGATTTCCTTGGGTCATTCGCCCAGTTCGCCCAGATATTCGATTAGTCCTGTGGGAGTCGTGTCTTCGTTCCATTTGGGGCTGATGCTGCTGCTGCGGCTGCGGCTGCCTTTGCTTTTCTGGCTTTAACTACCAGCCCGGGGAGTTCCTGAAGAGGTGGCCAGCGCACCCATCAACGAACTAATATTAGATACATCTCTGAGACATGCTGTGCTTTCAAGAGCACTCAAGAGCTATGATGATAACTTGTGCCAATGTTCCTGGACATTGTGGAGGGTTGCAACGTTTCCAACAAGTTGCGTGTCCTTCCGCAGTTACCCACCTTGCCTGTTGTATCTCAGTCTGCTTCTGCTAGCTGCTGGCTGCCTCATACCGTAAACCACTCCGTTGTGATTGTAGGTGAACCTTAATTGAATGAAGTTTGCGCGGCTTGCTTGCCCAATCAAGACACATAATCGCTCCGTGATGCACGAGGGTTGCTACAAGTACATACGCACAGGGCCTTTTCGAGACAGTTCCGCCTTTGGTTATACAAGGCATCACGACTCTGACAGCTGCATGTGCTGCCAATTTGTTTTCGGGTGTGCGCACGACAAGGTTGAGCGAACCGCCCGCTCAGCCTCACACCTAAATTTTCGGATGTAGACAGTGCCTGTACCTCTTCGTAGGCACAGACATCTCTTGTCTCATCAGTGTGGCTGCGCATTTAATACTCTTACCGGGTCACATCTGCAAGAAAGGCCAGGTATGAAAGCCTTTATCCCGAATCCCTTCCAGATGTTGGCTGTCCTCGTTTACAGCCCCGGCGGTGCGATAGCTAGGCCCAAGAGCGGCCTCCGTCACCACCAATACCAACTCACAGCCGACGGACTGGACCGGTCAACCTGCTCAGATGGGCTCCAAGGGAAGTTGGGCTTGAGGAATGCCAAGCACAGCAGCTTCGGTGGTTGGTTTTTATTTCAACTTCTTGATTACCGAAAGAGGCATCACCACTACTGCTCGCAGTCTGGACCTGCCGAGACATACTGTAGTTGCCGGCAGAACGTCGCTTTATTACAGGCACTGCTCGTAGCAGCTGCTGCTACCAAGCGTGACACAACCTGGCTTCGCTGTCAACGTCATGTTGTTGGCTCGTATAAAGTTCGCGTTTGGGTCATTGGGTTTGAGGTTTACAAGCTGGCGGCTGAAACTAGCTTCAAAAGGAAAGTCAGATACCAACCCTGAATGACAGACCTGGACCGTTACCGCTTAAATGCATGCATACCGCAGCACGAGTTCTGGCCGAGGCCCAAGAGCGCCCCATGTCACCACCTTTACCAACCGCAAGCCGACAGAACGGCCCCGCCGCTTGCTCAGATGGATTAGCTCTGCAGGTTCCCGGTGCATTGAAGCAACTCTCGCTAGGTGCCAGCTAGACCCGGCTCGCCAGCCCTTCCCGGAGCTGGTGCTCAGGTCGGAAGGAGGTTGCATGTTAGGATCCATGTGTTGCTGTCGAAATCCATCAAACTCCCTTTGCTACATGGCTTGGCGTTTCAGCTGGCTTGCTCTGTGCTCAAGTTTATAGACCACAGACCACTATCGGCACCAGACTTGCAGCCTACAGGCCATGGGCTCGGCCTCTGTTGCAATGCACGAGGAGGCGGCAGCGTGTGTCGGTACGAGTTTGAGACCTCGGTTTGGGTGCCAACAAATCGTCTCTCCACGCCTTTCTGAAGAGGCGTTCTGGTAGAACCGAGCCAGCACGCCCGTCACATTAGCAACAGTTCAGGTGGAAAGTCATGCAGACGCAGACGTCCCGCAAATCTGCAAGACCCTATGACTATAATGATGTTGAGGCAGAGTCTTGGAGATGTTGCATGTGCAATGCTGGCGGCCAGGCCCCGCCGGACGAGCGCATGGCTCCTTGCCCCCACTGCGGTCGCACCTTCAGGAGTCGTAGGGAGCACAAAAAGCATTTCGTCGTGATTTTTGTAGCCCTGCCCATAGTGAGTCTCCGTGACCAGCCGACTAGCCTTGCCTTGCAGGATCTCTGTTCTGGAGAGGCACATCGGCATTTGCCAGAAGGTCTTCCAGGAGAAGCGGAAGGTGCCGGCGTGCGAGCGTTCACTGGCGGACGATGTTAGAGACACTGTCCGCGGAGCTTCGGACTGAGGTGTTCAATGCAGTGCTGGCCTCGGCAGTTCGCCTTCGGTGTCTCGTAATGGGCAGTAGGGTTATGGACTTGCCGATGCGAGAGCCTGGCACTGCATGATTGGATTTCACTGCGATTCCAGGTCAAACAGGCTGTCCCTGTTGAGGCAGCGAAGGCGTGCTGGAGAGTATCCATATCCTAGCAGCTTGCAGTAGCTCGTTAGGTACATCGCTGGATAGCCGGTTAGAGGATCGGCAACTGTTTGTCCCAGTCGTGTGAATGCCTCCTTCACGGGAGGCGAAGAAAGCCCACGAAAAGCAGGTGGGCTTTGAAACCTTGTGGCGCCAAGCTCAATTTCAGATTGAAAGTGCCAGCCTCCGCACCCGTTGAGGAGAAGATGGAGAAGGTGGCGCAGGGTTGGTCGCCAAGTGCATGATGAAGAAGGGAGCGTTGTTTTGATCTGATTCCGCAGATGCACTTGCCAGCACCACCCAGCCCTGGTCTTCGGAAGAGAAATGTTTTTTGGGGAAGTTGGCTTCTGAAGCTGCCAAGGGAATGCCCCATGAAGCACGCAACTTGCTGTGATTTGCTGTGACTTACGCAATTGCTCGACAAGACAATGAAGATGTGAGGGAGAAGCTCTTGCAATGCTCTTGGGCCGTCCAAGATGGGTCTTTGCTCGAAGTCTCGGGAATGACCCAGCTCAGCGTCCCATCCCAGCATCCCAGGCCGAAAGGGCCCGCAGGACCGGCCCATCAAGCCTGGTGCGCAAAGTGCGCCGAAACTCCGCACAGGGCTTCAGAAGCTTCGGCTTCAGGGCAGGAGCCCATCAGGGGCGCCGATTATAGGGGGATTCCAAGCATGTTGGGTTCAGCGGCGGGGACCTCCTCGGAGTGTGACTGCACGTGCATGGCAATAAATATGCACTCAGCCGCAGCACTGCCAGCTTGTCTAGCGGCATTCTATAGCGGCCTCCTTGAACGTTAACCTGCCGTCCGCAGTTGGCTTCATCAGGGTAGGTTTGGGTTGAGGCACAAGCCCCCAATGCCACTTGGCTTACACTATCTGCAGTCAGGTGATCCAATCACTCATGCCCGACAGCACGACCCAAATGTTCAGGTCAGGGCAGCTCCACCTAGCCTCGCAGTGGCCAGCCAAGACGACCATGGCTTTAGTAGAAGCTTGCCTGCGTTGCCTCTCCTTGGGACAACAGGACGGCATACTCGCATCAGGCAGTATGCAGCCGGTCCTCCATCACAGTATGTTTGCTTTAGCCGAGGGGGTATTGACAGACTCTTTGATGGCAGTTGCTCGGCTGCCAGCGATGCAAACGGCGTGCTTCCGATTGCCGCATGCAGGCAGCACGAGGACATCTAGCCTATGCCATCTCCCGAGGCATTACGATGGCTTCTTCAACGGGCCTTCAATCGGACTTGGCTGCACCGGCTTCAGGCGGGTTTTGCGCGGATCTTCAGCAGTGTATGGATGTCAGAATCCTGCACTTGATACAAGCTTGCTCCAAAGTATCTCTCTGAGAGATTCGGCAGGTGCGGGAGGAACCGCCTTCAACATGGTCCTACAAGGAGAAGGCAGAGAACCTTGACAGACACGGCATGCCAGGAGGTGAAGAGTTGATGTTTGAAATCGAAGGCTTCTTCTGGTAGGTGGAGGCATGAGCAGGTTGTCGTCGAAGGCCTGAAAGCGGCGGAGCGGTTGCAATGAAGATGCTGGCTGCAGGCTCGTTCCGTCACTTCTCCGCAGTCTCGGAAATCGTGGAGCGTGTATCTCCACTGCGACTCAAACTTCACCATTACGAAAGTTCAGCCAGAGTTGCTCGGCTCGACATATATCATTTCATGATCGACTGGTCACTTACTTGTAGCATTTCTTCATGTGTGTGGGGGGGGGGCTGACGAGACAAGGCTGAGGCTGCTGCCCAGAATTGGTACTAAGGAGGAGAGCCAATGTCTGGTCAAATGTGCTTCTCAGTTACTATAACCATATAGAGAATCGCAGCCAAATCCTTTTCATCAGAACCCTCTGTAGCAGCAGACACTAGTTGGGCACGAGACCTCGTCTGGCGGAGTCCGAGTTGCGAGAGCATAAGAAACAGAGGGTTCGCAGTCGTCGGCAGAGTCAATGAAATCCAGTGATCTCCGGACAGTATTGTGCTGCCCATCAGCCGTTGAGTTCCATCGCCCCATCTTCCAACAATCGTTGACCGAAGTTGAACCAGATCTTCTCGAACCTGCACAGAAGCAAACCGCCTCCAAAGCGGCAGTCAAATGACTGACAAGAAAGTATGCAGGTCGCCATGTTGAAGGCCAGCCCTTGCCAGCCCCTGCACTCCTACACCTCCTGAGTCCATCTGCTTTGCAAGGCTTTGTGAAATGCTGGGCTACGAGCCGGATTCGCTGATTGGCAGGAGCTTAACAGTCCCATGACTCGCTGTGGTCCTGGCCGGTCCGTCCCATGCAGCCCTTCCATTTTGGCTTTCGGGTTCTCGTTCTCAACTGTTGTGTTCCTTCGTGCGCTCACCTTTCTATACTTCTCTGACTTTGTGCCGGTGCTAACCTTTCTATACTTTTCTGACTCTGTGCCGGTGATACTGCAGGCTCGTTTTTGCCAAGTCTGCCACATAAATGTGGTTCCACTTCTGGGGATTAAGGACATTCCCCTGCCAAGGATGGGTCGCGACAACGACCCCAGGTAACTGTTCGCTACAGTATGAATATGATTTGACTTCATCTACCTATGGTAGCATATTGGTCCTGTGAGGAATCATGGCAGAATCAGCAAAGCGGTGATGAAGCTACCGAGTGGATTGCAAGGGATCACAACGTAACTGCTGGCTTAGCGTCATGCAGTGTAGGAGCGTGCTGGTACTGATGCCCGCTGTGGTATCAGATGCCCATGTGTCTCAGTTGCACTTCATTTCGACCGGGAAATTCCACCAGATGCCGAGTGCCTTTCGAGGAAATGGATCGCACGACTTAGCTTACTTTAGCACTCTGCCGCCCTGGCACACCTTGAATCTGAACCACACGCTCAGAAATCACCAGGAGGCGTATCGTGGAGGTGCCTCCCTTTTTAGTTCACCATGAGACAGTATAACCAACGACAAGGCTGCATGAGCTCCGAGGCCCCCAACAGCCTCAACCATACCTCACAAATCCAGGCGGCGCTCTTTCGCCGGCTCCGCGAGGCACCAGCATCGAAACGCGCAGCGCTCCTTGCAGGGCACATTTCGCGCTGCCGCCACTGGGGCAGAAAGAAAAAGGAATCGGAGTGAGAGCTGTTTATGTTCAAGATGGGCTGGAGTTGCTGATCTAAACACCGAGAGTTGGTTGCATGGATGGGGTGGATTGGGCTGCAGTCCTCGTGACTCTTGTGGGAGCACGCGACGAAATCATCCTGGCTAGCGCTGTTTCAACCGCGCCAGCAGTCACAGATGTTTGGGTCATAGTGTTGTGACCTCATTCAGACGCATCAGCAATATCGACGCTCAGAGATGGGTCGCTATAGATATCATCGTGCATGAAGCCAAACGTACGCCAAACTCACCCACAGGTCCGCGTTGAAACAACTACAAGGCGACTGACTGTTTTGATGAAGGGGGTGCGGGGCGAAGAACGCACAGGGTTTGAGAATCGATGGACTCGATGTTATTTGGGCACCCCGTGCAGCGCCAGCATGCAGACTCGCTCAGCTTTTGAGGCGACGCCGTAATTCTGGATGCAGACGGGATGCCACTTTCTTGCCGGCTTCTGGCCACTCCGCTGTTCGGTATGGTGTGGTAGAGCAATTGCAGCTGGCTGGTTGAGAGTTGGTTCTGCCAAATCTGCCGGGCTGTTGGCATGTATGACCTCAGGTGCACATCAATGGAGACCTTTCGTCAAAGCTTGCACCTTGGCCTGTGAATGGTCCGGGGCTGCGTACCTGTGCTAGCCGCTTGACAGCGGGACTTCAGACAAGTTCAAGCGTTAATTGTTTGGCAGCGGGCCTACAATGGCTCAGCACTCCAAGATTTCGTTGCTGCGCCTGGCAGTCACAGCCGGTTGCGGCCAAGGAAAAAAAACAGCTTTGCATGCATCCTCTTGTCAAGCCAGGTATTCGAGAGAGTCAGGGGCAAGATTGCGCAGTGCGTTCCACGCGGCTTCGGACAGTTCTTGCGCCAGCCTGCGGCTCCCCACATCATTGACTGCCAGGACCGAGTGCAGCACAATCAGATGTGCAACCATCCGGGCAAACGGAAGTTGGCGAGATCTGAGCACTTCCGTTGCTGAATACAGGAGGTGGCTTGTATCATGACGGATGTGGCAAACACGACGCGCTTCGCGACCTCTCAACCTCCACGAATGATGGCCGAGCTCCTACATCAGGACCCGGCTCGGATGGTTTCGTTGCTTTCCGTTGCCTAGATGGCGGTGCATGTGAGCAGTATTAGGTAAAACGTGATGAACAAGCCTACAAGATGGAAGCATGTTCTGCTTACAGCTGATTCATATCTCGCCAAGTACACATATCTGGTCTTTGATGCTTCGTGATGCGATGTGATTGGTTTTTCTGAATTGTTCACTAGACTATGACTGAGTCTTTGCATTTTAGGTGTTGCTACATGCTAAAGCAGTCTTAATAAGCAAGGTGAACAAACAGATGTTTGACCGGAACAGGAAACAGAACAGGGATAAGGAGACAAAAGCTGCACAATAAAGACTGTCAGGTCTACGTCACAGCCAACAGAGTAGTCCAGAGGGAGGCTCACCCCTACGTGTACATCCACGAGGCAGTCGGCGACAGCAACTTGATTCGTTCAGTGGTGTGAACATTATATGTAGGCTTGCTATGCGGTAGGGATTGACCGTGTGCTGGTACTGTATCTGTCTTGGGTTCACTTTGTTGGGCATCAAGAAGGGCAAGTGAGGCACTTCTGTCAAATGTGTTCTCGTTGCTGTATTGGATGGACTTGCAACGTGGCCAGCCCGGTGGTCGCATGCACAATCACATCCTTGAACACTCCTCGCCGCTTGTCCAAGGCTTGCTGTTGCTCTGCAATGCTGAGTTCATGGCGCGATATCCAGGTGCGTCAACTCATTCCGACCCGATTCAGATTTCGGCAGCGGCTAGTGGCTTTCGTTGCCTCCGGGTGCACTTACTGTACCAGGCCGAACGGCTTCGATAGCGATCTACGTGGCTGCCGAGGACTGCAGTGTGGGTTGGAAGCAAGCTTTGCGCTGCAGGTTTTGTACTTAGGTGCTGGAGCTGCAGGGTCTTGTTTGTTTGTGTGCTGACTGCACCGCACCCACGGCCTCTGCAAAGCACCCGAGGGAAATGCCCCTCGGGTTCATGAGCACTCAGATTGTAAGCCCCATACTCCGAACTTGCCATCTCGTTGGCCGACAGGTGCAGAAGGCTGTGGACAAAATGCTTTCAGCGTTCGCAGACGGCGATCATGGTCGCTCAGCTGAGGTTTGTGGCATCCCTGGCTAAAGACTGTTCGACTAGTATCGGCAGGTCCTGAGGTTTGGTTACAAGACGTAAACAGAACCAGATCAAAGGCTTCAAGGCTTTGTTTATGAGGGCATGTGCAGCCTATAGATTGCAGGGGCTGGTACTAGGTGGCAGAGGTCAGCATACCGTGCATGAGGGTGCCTTTGCTCTACCGTCGTCTCTATCAGCTTCGTCCGGTCCGTGTGTCTCCGTGTGTACGGAGAGGAGAGCACATACAGTCCCGCCCGTGCGAGGAATGTACTTGCGGACTGGAATTGCTTTGGGGCCTTTGTGTGCTGGAGTGGTGGATGGTCGCAACTTCCGCGTATTCGGGTCTACGACTCTTGGCTGCGAAATTGTCTACAGAAGCTGTGGCAAGGCTTTTCTTAGGCGCCATGCATAGTGAAACTCGGCTTGGGGCGGCCCTCCTGTGCGGCGGCTGCGTTTCACTCAGGATCCATCTCTCTCAGCGATTGGAATCCGTGTGTCCGCGCTCGCGCATTGCCTGCTGCAAAGCCTTCACCGCACAACTCCTTGATGAGGCTGGGCCTTGGCTTTTTTCAGAAACTTCCGCGACGCAGAAACTGCCAGCCGCTAGCCTTCAACCAACGAACGACGATGCGTGGTGAGGTGATAAGACGAGCAATTTCCTCTGTCTAATTGTATAACATAATATATGTACAGCAGTTCGCAGCACTCTTCGTCGAACCTGCGTGGAGCTGGCCAGCTTCGTGGTTTGCTAGTCAGTCGTACACTGTACAACCCTGAACGACAATGTACATGCTCAGCATTTTGCGGCCACAGTGCATCGGTACAGCAGAAAGAAAACAGCCCAGGCTTCAGCCCCGAGTTTCCCAGCCTTGTTTGGTAATCGGCACCCTGCACCTCTGAAGGTCAGCTCGAGCGACCTTCATGTTGTTCCGGCGGCAGTGGATTTGAAGGGCGGCTTGTTCAAAGGAGTAGCGGGAGCCGTCATTGTCGAAGCAAGTCTCAACATTTGTTTTCGCTTTCTGGAGTGTTGTTGCAAATGGACCGGCAATGCAATAACTGGTGGTTGGCGAGGCTTCGGCACTGTGGAGTACTCGGTGGTGAACTTTCTCGGCTGCAGTCTCCCAGGCCTCAGACAGCCCAGAACTTGCGCTCGACTCCTGGCATCCTTGCCCGATCTTGCGCCCTGGTCAGGTCAAGGGACCAAAGCTGTTTGAGCTGGACTGCATCGACAAAGTATGCATGTTCAGCTTTGAACGGCTTAGTGTTCGCATAGATCGGGTCGGCCATAAGGCACCTGCTGAGAATTCAGAATTCGTTCGGCCTTGACAGGAGTTCGGATGTTGCGGGCATTTCAGGGAATCTGTGGCCTCAGCAGAGCTGGGACCTTTGCTGCGATGTTTCCGCTCGAAGATAAGATCACCACTTGCACAAATGCGGGACTCGGCCCACGTGGCGAAGTAACCTGCGCCGGCATGCAGTCCTTGTCTCGTCTAATGTGGACCTCTGCCGAGGTGAGCTGAATTTGACGCCTCGCACAGGGCACATAGAGTGCCGCCATTTCTTGCAAGCCGTGCATGCATGCGATGCGAGTGGTTCTGGAAGGCTTGCACGCTTGTGCACTTGCGGAATCGCTCCAACATACCATACGGCACCTAGAACGCGCTACAACATCGCGATCATGGTGCTTCTGTCCCCGATGAGTTTCGCTTGACCAACTTGCGAGCCATCGTCGGGCATTTACAGCTAAGAGGCTCGTATGTATGCGGCTGTCCAGCAGGAGCAAGGTCCAGCACATGTTAAGCAGATCATGTGCCCAATGATCCAAAATCATGTGTAGCATCTCAGGAAAGGGCCTTTCAGTGATGAGCCCTTCTGGGTGCGTTGGCCCTTGCACCCTGGCCGTGTTTTCAACCAGACCTGACGGGTTTGCACAGGTGGGCCGAGCCACGGTATGTACTGTATGTAATTATGTAATGTATGTATGTATGTATATGTATGTATGTATGTATTGTATGTATGTATGTGCATATGTATGTATATGTATTTGCAGTGTGTGTATATATATACACACATAGTATACACGATCTCCATTGCAAGGGTTGCAGGGGACGTGTGTGGCCGGCTTTGTGTTGCCTCTGCTGCGTTGCCCCACGGACCTGCGGTGCCTCCGGCTTTCGGCAGAGCAACCTGCCTCCACGATACACCTGCAGCATGGGAGGTCAGGGACTCGATTTGACCCGGAGTATTATAGACGCATTGAAGCAGGCAGGTGCCATAGGCCGATGCTCCAACCAGCACGTTCCCTCGATAGAGTATGGTTGCTAAGCTCGGTTGGAAGTCACGTGTATGGTGGAGCTGGTTGTGCACCGAATGTTTTCAGAAAGCTGTGAGTTGTGCATGTCCCGACTTTGGAAGTCCGTTTAACGGGACAACCCAGGATCCCTGAAAGCCGAGAAGTTCAGCGCTCACGTTGAAGGTACGCTTGACGCTGGTGCAGGGCTCAAACCCGCAACCTGAAGGCTTCCGGCGCCAGGGAGTTCAAGAGCCATCAAATGAGGGTTTGTGGGTTCCACTATCCACTATTCGCGAGTTTTGGGCTACAGAATGTAGGTGGCTCTCTTTTTTTTATCCTCCACCCCGACTGACAAGCTTGGGTCGCAAATCGGGCATCCGTGCTCACACGCGATTTCCGCGTGATGTGGCCCCGTTTGACGCTTGCCAGAGTCCTCGCTCTCGCTCCTGCTCTTTCTGAGTGGCGTCGTAAAGGTGCCCTTTGCCCGAGAGGTGTTGAAAGGGCGGAGCAGTCCTGCGCCTAGGTCCTCGGTCAAGCTCTGTATAGCTCACTTATAGCTCTGTTTTGCAAGATCGCAGACAATGGTCGATGCATATGGGAATCCATCAGAGGGATGGCGCAGACTGCGTGAGGTGAGCTATGCCGAACGGGGGTTGGAGTTGTGTATGAAGTAGGATTTAAGCGAGGCACGGGTTGGTACAGTTTCATGCCTTGCCGCATGTATTTTCCTTCAATTTTGTTTCTTGCCAAAGCTGTCGGCTGTGACACATTCTTCTGTGAATAGCCCGGAATGGCACTGTTCCCTTGAGATGTGTGCTGGAAACTCAATCCAGAAGATGCGTGACAGTCGACCTGCAGGCAACACTGCTTCAGATCAATTTCTGGTTTTGAGCCTTTCAAGCGCCTGCGAGGGCATGCGCGAGAAGCCTGGAATCCCTGCGCCATTTCGGAGAGCTCGCCTGGTGTCTGTGACAGTGGCTCTCATCCAACATATACACGGTAAACGTCTAGATTCTAGATACTGAGTAAGGCGCTAGCTGTCCTTAGCCCAAAAAATACGAGACTCCAAAAAATACCGGGGCTGGATTGGATGCAGAGCTCACAGTCGTGGGTCCAGGGCAACCGGGCAGGTTCCTGGCTGTGCCTCATCGTGGGCTAATGTGCCCTGGGGTACCTGTGAAGGCTCGGCATCTGGAATCTGAGAGGCCCAAAGGGACATAGATACATAGTCCAGAACATGCAGCGGGTCGGTTGTCGTAGCATGAATGAGGCGCCACCTACATGTATACTGTAGTTACGCATGGCTTAAGCACAACCGGTAAGTATCCGACAACTGAAAGAAAAAGCGCGCGCACACAAATGCTTACTTGTTTGCATATAGGTCCCATGACTGACTGCAACTGTCATTCGGATGGTCACGTGCACGAATCAACAGGCATGTATCGGCATGTAGTGTAGGTGAACACCACGGCACAAACAAGTAGACACATGTATACAAGATGTTGTAGAAATATAGTGCTGCTGGGACCATGTACGCGCATATACCTGCATGAATCTGCAGGGTTATGCATATACATAACATGTAAGACAAGAGAGAGTCAACCCCACACGGGGACACACCCCTAAGCCCTGCCAAGGGCAGAGAGACGGCCTTCGGCGTCAACGAGCCGGTGAGTGTGGCAGAGTGTGACCTCGCGTAGCTTGTTCTAAAGTGTCACTCCTTCCTAAAGTCCTCGGTGCAGCACGCGAGAACCCTCTGGCTGTGCACCTCTGTGCACGAGAACAGCGAACGCCTTGGGGGCAGGCCTTCTTGCACAGGGAGGGAGCTCCCATACCTCTAAGGGCTTTGCGAGCAAGTGGGTGTTTGCCTTGGTGTTTAGTGGGCTACAGGTCATGGCACACACGACGCTCGTTGGTCACTGCAGACTTGCGTATCCTTTGCTTGTTTGTTTGAAGACTTCGGCGTGTGGACGATGCCTGTACCTGTGCTAGCGACGATCTGGCCGAGCTGGATAGCGAGGCGGAATCTGCGGAATTGGAACCTGTCGCAGACCCCTGGCTTGTCAACGTTGTTTCAGGGTGGTATCACAAGGTGGTCCGCCTGGATTCGATTGTGCCGCCAAATTGCGGCATGCTTTGGGAAGGCAGGCGCTGTCGGGGCGAGCCAATCGATGTACGAGCTGGCTTTCGTTCTTCAAAGGCTGCACAGCGCTTGCCGGCAAGCGGATTGCTTGGACATCAAGCGCTTTGTGAGGTGTTGCGATGTGGTGAGCTCCGGTGAGCGTCCGGTATGATGCTGTGTGTTTGGGCTGATGCCCACTTTGTTGTCAGGTAATGTATCAGGCTCGTGCCTTTTGACATGTTCGGTGTTAGTTATAGACAGAGCGCCAAGGAATCCGTGCCATTCGCGCTGAGGCTTGGGGTGGATCGTTGCTTATGGCACGGTTTTGGCTGCCGTGGCGCTGTGGGGTTCGGATTTCTCGGGCCTGAACATCCCTGCTGATGTCATGTCTGCAGCCAAAACACCCGCATGTCTGCATGTTGAGGGTTAGAGCGAGGCCGTCAGAGGGGGAGAGAGAGGCCAGCCTTTTCCGCAAAGCAAAGAGACAGCGAGAAGAAAGAGAAAGGAGGCAACTCCCCACCACAGCCCTGGCGAAACAAAAAAACAGCAAGCCTTCCTCCTTGTCCCTCGTGAAAGAAGGGCACGGCCAGTAGTTTGTCACCTAGCAAGCAAGGCTTTTGGTTCCTAACAATTGTGGACGCGCACGGAGTGTAAATAAATGTGGCCAAGGCTTCGTCTCTAGGCCCTGTGAAAGAAACGGGTAGAGACAGAAAGTGAGAGTGAGAGGGCTGATGATTGAGGGACCTGACCCGCCCCGCGTGCACTGGAGAAGAAGAGCTATGTAATGATTATCGGATTATCGCGTATCAGATGTCCGACACTTGCCTGGGAGTATGGGCGCAAGAAATGAAACACATCTTGCTCGTGCCGAGTTTCCGTCAGGCACTTACAGCGAAGGGGAATGTCCCGCGGTTTCCTCACTTTTGCGCCAGATGCCTTTGCCAATCGTCTTTCAGACACTCGCCACCAGTGCAGGAAAAATCGGCTGGCTGTGGGTTTGTTTCCTCTCTTCTCTCTGTCTTGCTCTTTCTCTCTCTCCCTCTCTCTCTCTCTTTCTCTCGCTCTTTCTCTTTCTCTTTCTGTTTCTCTTTCTCTTTCTCT